AAGCTCAAGTGGCATTTCGGTGGAAGCGAGAGATTGGACTTAGACCGTGTGAAGGACAAGAGAACCGTTTGTCGAAGGGAATCGAAATCTTGCGACACGTACAAATACCTCCAGTTTTTTATTCTAATTCCGAATACGTCGTCAGTTTAAGTGCGGCGGTGACAAATTCGCTAGAGATTTGTCACATATCGTACAGGTAAGGCTATTGTTCTATTCGAACACACAAGAGGGATTTTTACTTACTGCTATGGGCAACTCGTTTAATATATACACCAAAGAGATTTTTCTATCCCGTTAGCGCATCTACTAGCACCAAACGTCTGATGGCTGCAGTTGAAATAGGTTCAATATTAGCCAGTAATTCTGAAAGATAGTACATCGCATGTATGAAAGATTTTTCTCACTTCATTCCCGTTTCGCAAAATATCCAATGCTCTAACCTCTTTGTGCCACCAGTTCCTTTACCTCCGAATGTCCACAGGCTTGAGCATTTGTAGATCGATTGCAAAAGTTTCAGAAAGTGTAGAATTCGAAAGCATTAAAAACACGTTTTTGCAGCTATCTTCGTGACTTATCGATCGGTAAAAAAAATATTTCATTTTCTCACTTCGTTTTCAAAATGAAAATCTTAAAAAAATCGATAGTCGTGCAAAAATTGAATTTTAAAAAGCAAATTTTTCGCTTCCTAGAGGCAATAGAAATATTGGGATCCATTGTGTAATTTATATCAGCGGAAATGTCAGTATGTAATTTGACCGTGTTTCGAAATATGTTAACGAATCAGAAGCGATAGAGCACAAAATGGATCCAAGATCTATCATTGAGGAAACTAAAGGAAATGGCGAACGCCGTGAATATATTTCCCGTAAACTTTACCATGTAAAATGTTGAAATAATATTTAGCATGAATTCAATATCCGAATTGTAATTTTATTACTTAATGAATAACAGTTGTTTTTTTTCTAAAGATACGTACTACAAATGTATACTTTTATCAACGCTGTCATAAAAGAGAAAAAAGGAGAATATTTCAAGCCGTTCAAAACGAGTTATTTTACCTCCATAATGATTGGAGTAATCAAGGTACAGTCAAGTCTCTCGAATGTGAACACCAACGAGAACATCTAAGAGTGTTCAATATATAGAGATTTTCATTTATTTTTGTACAAACGACTTTCTGTGACTTTGGGCAGTTCAAGAAACTAACGTGTTTCTTTCTGATCTATTCTTTGAAGAAAAGACCTGTTTCATTTATATTGAAAATATCATCCTTGCATTGATTGGAGTCATGTTTCTATTCATCGACTGATGTATCCTCATCTGATATAGCATAATCGGCAATGAAATACTGCGGTGGAATATTTTTCTAGTCGATCATTGCTTATCTTTGATTGACAGGGGTGTAGTCCTATTTCGTTGGCTATTAGTCGAGCTCCTGCCTATGGAATAGAAGCTAATATCGGAATGTTTTTGGCTCGTTGAGAAGAAAATCATGCGAATGTCGTTTCACCGATTTGAGCGTCGCTCATCAGTTGTCATTTGGTATCTATGTTTCAATTCATTTCATAGTTCGACAGTTACTCTTGTTTGCCTTTGAGGATATTTGAAATAGATCCGATCCAATAGTGACATTTCTCTCTCACAGTTTTCGACGAAAAGACCGTTCCTTGAATTGTTGTGTCGGATTGGTTGATTCCTTTCTGCTAAAATCTAATCGTGAAAGAAAAGTTTTTGTCAACTATGTCTTGAATGTAACAAACCGTTCATAATTGAGAGTTGTTCATAGTAAGAGATTTTACTGTACACTGTACAAGGGACAAAGTGTTTAGTGGATCGGTCCATACCATTGGTATATTCGAGAGACTAGTGCTCTAGTTGTGTGGTGATTTTTCTCACTTCTGAACCGCTATCGAGGTAAAAAGGGTGTGGGTGTGGGTATAGTTCTTGACATAAATCTGATCCATACCCGTACCCGCATTCACACCCACACCCCACCCAAGATATTTAAGATAGAAATAGTCATAAAATTTAATCAATCATTACGTGCTTGTAAATTCTTTGTACGAAAGCTTTGTTTTTAAAATGTACCAGAGAAACAGTTCATTTTTTGAAAGTTGAAAGAGTTTGTCTACTTTTTATTCGCAATATATCTAGAACCCGATGTAACTATTCTTTATCAGATCTTATTTTCAATCATGTTTAAGTTTCATTCAAAAAATTACGTTCAAAATTATTGATATGCTCTAAAATTAGAGTACTCAATCTCAGTAGGATACTAAAGCCAGTTCGAAATAATGCTTAGCTAAACGATAAGAAACAACTTAATCTTTTAACAATATTAAATAATATTTAATTTTGCGTGAAACAAAATAGTACACTGAGTGATTATATGGTCTGGTTTCTATTGTTTATTCAGGAAGAAAACATCAATTTCTAAAAATTAAGGATTAGTGTACTCGCATATCCATCTAATAATACTTTTTCAAAAAACCTAGATCAGAGCAATAAATAGATTGGATTCAGCAAGTCATAGCAACAAGTGTTATTTGTACTTCAAACAGAATGCAAATTACAATTTTTAACTGTTTTTTTTTTTCTTCGAAAGTTATATATAAGCATTTATTAATTTATTTCATAGAACTAAAACACTAACGTAAAGAAATAAGATTCACGTGTATTGAAATAATTTCAATCTTTTAATATTTCATTGGCCTTGCAATAATATTTACAAACACTGAATTTATTGCCATTACACTATCTAGCTTTTTCCTATCATTTATTGACACAGACATTAACTCTAAAAAGACAGATACCTAACTTGTTCTCATACTGATCATTAGTCTTCAAGAGTCACTGTAATACTAATCGTATTTTCCTTTTGATAGATGCAATCATCCTCAACATTACATTATTTAATTTCATTATTTTCCTTTATCATATTATACATCCTACCTGTCAAATCATTTTCATCAAGATATTCGATATTAGCATATTGAATTTGATGTACTAGTCGGCTAGCAGCCATAGCAATAAATAATAATTAACAGAAGAACCAAAATAAAACATAAGGAAATCCTTTTCGAATTGTAGTACTCAGTTTAATTTAAAAAAATGTTTTTGCTCATATATATATATATATATTTATAGACTGATAAAGACAGCAAATACATTGGATTTAATCTTATACAAACAAAAAACACTGTTTTTCAATAAAAATCGATTAGCTTTTGATAATATTTTCTTTCTCATTAATTTATTACATATATTGGAAAAAAGAAATCAAATGCATATTACCATACACACATCTAAAATTTTTGATCGTTTTTTTTTTCTTACAATAATCACTGTTGAATATAATAGAGAAATAAAAGAAGTTCATTTTATTTTTTTCCACCTTTTAATGCTGTATTTTCATCTCGAATTTTTTTATATTCACCAATTAATGTTTCTAAATTTGTAGTCATATTTTTTTGTGATTCAACTTCAATCTAAATAGTCCATAAAATAAATGTATCAAATTATTTACACAAGAAGACAAAAAAAAAAAAGAAAAGATCTCAAATGAATTATTTACTTGATCTTCTAATTCTCGAATTTCTCGTATAATAACGCCAATATCTTCGACAATTTTATAAATATTATCACAATCAGAATGAAAAGCAACTAACATTTTATATGAACGTCGAGCACATTCATCTGTTTTTGCATCCTATAGGAAAGAAAAGTTTTTATTTATTTTATTTTATTTTTTTTGTCTTTAACGTCATAAGATATTTACTTTAAATAATTGACTATCAGTTACTTGAAATGTTCGTTCAAGTTTTTCTGTAAGTCGATTTAAATCTTTTTGTAAAACACGTGTTTCAATAATAGTTTTATTTATTTCTTCTTTTTGTTTATTTGTATTAGTAACAATTTCAAGTATTTGTTTTGTAAAAAATGATCTTGAATGATCATTTTTTGACATAGATGATTTATGTGTTTCATAATCATGTTGAAGACGAACTAATTGTTCATCTTTTTCTTTAATATCATTTAATAATAAACGTCCTTTAGCTTTCATATCATTTATTTCTGATAGTTTATCATTAAATTTTGTTAAACGATCATTAAGTGCTTGAAGAAGATTATCACGTTGTTCAATAAGACTTGAACGAACATCTGTCCATTGAGTTTCAAGTGTAATTAATTTATTTTTTAATTTATCAATAGCATTCTATAAACAGAGAAAAGAATTTCAATATAGATTCATATAAGAAATAATATAAATCTATTATTTAAAACTGAATTTTTAACATATTATCCAAAATATCTCATAGAAAGCAATTGTTCGCGATCGTAGTTACAAGTTTCACATTCATGAGAAAAAAAAATGAGTTGAGTCGCTTAACGCACAAGCGAAGTCCTTCAACTGATAAATCGTTTTGAAGTATGGACTGTGCATCATGTAGACCTTAATGAGTTATGAATACCTTGAAAATAGTTCGAACCTTTAGCTTATTATTGCTGAGATGCTGTATTTTTTTTAAGTCTATGCCGTAGTCTCCCTTAGAAACACTAGGAAAATTCATTTTCAAATTTCGATTTGTTTCTTGTCTGTGAATAAGAACATGAAATCTATCGATGAATATGAACAATGAAAATATATGAAATTTTCACAATAAACAATTCTCCATGAAATCAGTCTCTAGGATAAGTTTCAAGTCGAAATTTGAAAATGAGTTTTCCTAGTGGTTCTAAAGGATATCATAGCATCGCTTTAAAAAATACACTATCTCAGCAATAATAAGCTAAGAATTCGAATTATTTTCAGAGCATCCATCATTTATTAGAGTCCGTATTATGCATATAGTCTCGATTCAAAAGCGATTAAAATTAGTTAGAAGACTCTTCTCGTCAATCAAATCCGATAAAAATACTAGGAATCCCAATAGCCAAGGTTATATAAAGCATAAGTTTCAAGTGCAGAAAATCCAGAGAAGCATTCAGAAGTTCTAACTTTTTATATTGATCAGAAAGATTTCTGTTTAAAAGTATACTCCAAAGTTAATGAAGTAGATGATATACTTGAACATATTACCAACATAATATTTCTGTTCAGTCCTAAGTATGAGGATATATTTAATAGTCTAACTCTGAAATGATAAGTCAGTTTTCTTTACCTGTAAACGTTCTGTTTCTGGATCAACTGATAATAAATAAGCAGCTGCTTGTTTTTTTACTGTCATATCTTTATTTATATTATCAATTTCTGTTTTTGTTTCATCAGAAAATCGTTCATACTAAATAAAATCAATAATTAAAATATAACTTTTATTTATTTATTTATTTATTGATATTAACTTACTTTTTTAATACTTTCTTCTAATTTTTGTAATTGTAATTCAAGTTGACGAATAAGTTCTTCATTTTCATTAATAGAAGTTTTTAATTGTTCTAATTCTTCTGTATGATCAATATTTCGTTTTAAATTTTCATCTAAACCATTTGATTGTTGTTCATGAATATTTGTATGCATAAAACGTGATCGTGTTAATAATGAATCATCAATATTCTTTTTCCTATCACCACGATTTATATATTCATATTTTGCACCAATTGTATCACCTTCATGAATTTGTTGACAAATTTCTTTAGAAAATTTATGTGTAATCAATTGACCTGGAATCTAATATCAAAAATAATCAACATCTATTAAGAAATATTTCTTAAGACAAAAAACAAACAAACCAAATAACTCGATTCTCGTTGTTTTTCTATCCAACAAGATACTTGATTTTCATACATTAATGAATCAGCTAAATTTCGAAAATCAACTTGTTCAAAAACATATGAACTTGAATCTATATATATATTAAAAAATTGAATAAATTAAAAATAAAAGAATGATATTAAGTTCGTCGTACTTGTTGATAATTTATTCTTGCCATTAATTGGAGGAATATGAAGAGGTAATACTTGAGAACATTTTGTTGGTGTAAAACCCTAATTTAAATAATAATGATATAAAAAATAAAATAAAAATAAAATTCATAATTATTCTACTGATTTATGAGCAAATGATGCAGCTGGATGATGAAATGGAATGTAACAAAGATCAATAACAAGATCATGTGATATCCATGTTGATTCAGCTAATTGTGTTGTAACTTTATGTGATAGAATTCGATCAAGAGCATCCCAAGGATCTAAAAATTATTTTATAAAATGATTTTCATTTTTAACAAGCTAAAAAAAAATAACCAATAATAATAATTCTACTTACCAAGTGTTGTCGATGCAACAGTAACAGCAGCTTCTCTTGGTACTTTTTCAATAAGAAAATTAAGTAGTTTTCTTGTTTCATGTTCATTTATGCTTAAAAATGTTTGATAACCAATATCACCTCTATAACCATTAGACTACTAAATACAATTTTGTTTATAAGTTTCAATTACAAAAACATATATATATATATATATATATATATTTATTTATTTCACAACCTGACAAAGTTGTGCCAATTCACCACAAACTTTAAATCGTGTTGAAATATTTGGTGGTAAACGTGTCGGTAAATCTTTATTACCCGTAATTAATTGAAGACATTGTGAAACACAACCAAAAAGAGTATTCACATCGAATTCACTGATATTTTGAAGGGAATCGTCTACTTGACTATGATAAAATTAGAATGTCTCGTTTTTAATAAGGAATTTTAATATTGATATAATAAACTTACCATCCAATATCACGTAAACTTTGTATTAAAATTCTATCAACTTCTTCCATTTTAACAAGTAAATACACTAATATTTATCTATGAAAGTGCAACAAAGATAAAAATAATAGTATGATGCTAGTAAAATTAACTTGTATAATAGAAAGAAAGAAAATATCTATTGGACAATGTAAAGACCAATAAAAAAAATTAATAGTTGGATGTTCAAGTTTCATTTTTTAGAAATCCTTTTATGAACGTCTACACATGTCTAGAAAACATAGAACTAGAAGTCATTCAATTGTAATTAGTCAGCCATTTGTACGATTAACTAGACAGTTAAAACCGTTCATCCTTCCAAAGAATTCTCTTTTAAATGAGAGTAGTCCAAGCGCTGCTATAGCTTGATATGTATTGAAAGAAAAAAAAACATTTGCATGCATTTAAATTCTATTTCACATCTTGGCTTTTGAAAATTTCCTGAATGATAAGATTTAAAGTCATGAAAATCTGATGCACTGTATAGAAAATCGATTTCGAGTAGAGAAGAGGCGGTTTTAACTGTGACTAATTATTGATCACTAAAATAATCGAAATTAATGCAAAATTTTCGAGCGATTTCTGAGATATTTGTGAAGTTATCATGAAATTCATAACATTAAATGAACATGTCTCAATTAATTCAAAGCTTCAAATTTTTCACCAGTGTAAAATTAATGGTAAATTTGGTGTTACATCCATTATTTTAATTCAACTAAATGTTTCTCTTCATTTTTATGGATAACTTTTCTTTTGACACAAAAAAAAAATCTATAGAATTATCAATGAAACTAATCAATCTTGTTGTTAAATATAAGAACATACCAGATGCTATAGTTCAAAAATCTCACTAAATTCTTTATAAGTTGAGGTTTTCGTTTCTCGTCGACTTCGAGAAGATTTTCTTCTAAACGAAGCTTCGTCAACACTTCATACGGTTTCTAATGTCTTTAAAAATCTTGCAAATTATGTGATTAAATGAAACTATTACTCTGATTTTTGCAAGTCATATCAAATGCAGATATGCTTAAATATATCCTAGTTCGATCATCTACATACTTTTCGAAATCAATTTATTTAACACTCTGATACTTTTTTCCTCTTCTTTGCACTATGACAGTAAACCTTTTTTTCTGTCCAACATTTTTGGTTCACAATAATAAAGAAAGAAAGGAATCAGTATAGTGACATCTTTTTCTTAATCGTATATCTATCCATTGTAAAAATGTCCGATACTATTGGTCATTCGACTTTTTTTTCAAAACTGTTTAAATAGTTTAATTCAACTAAATGAAATAGATAGTTTCCCTCAAAAAAAAAAGAAAAAATATGAATATTGCTTGTACAATTTGTTTGGATCGATTTTTTCTTTCATCAACTATATCAGCTTCTCCATGTGGTCATTTATTTCATGATAAATGTTTGGATCGATGGCTTATCGATGAACGAAAAAAAACTTGCCCACAATGTCGTACATCAATTACACCAAAACAAGTTTTAAAGTAAAAAAAAAAATTGTTCTCGTATATAAAATCATATATGACATTGTTTTATTCTTACAGAAAACTTTATTTAATGGAACCACTCTGTCAAACACAAGTACCATCGGGTGGTCAAGATTCTTCGGAACTTCTTAATCAACTTGAAACACAAGAAACAAAAATTCTTGAATGTGAACAACGTTGTCGAAAGGCTTTAAATGATTTACAAAAAGTAAATGAATATTATTACATTCTATTGTTATAATATATTATATTGATGATTAGAGTGAAGAACGACTACAGTTAATATGCTAATCGAACAATACAAGTAGATGATTGTTTTAGTTTTTTTTATAAATATATTTCATTCGATATTTATCTTTTAGACATGTTGATTTATCAAATAAAAAAGATGAACAAATTAAATCTTTACAAATAAAATTAGGTGAATATCGAAATGTTGATCTAATTTATAAAGGTATATCTTTTATTATATTGTTTTATTTTAATGAACAATATTTGACTTTGTTGTTTTTTTTCTTATTATTAAGGTCTTGCAAATAATTTTAAAGCGGAATTACAAAAAATGGTTGGATCTTGTCAAACAATTCAAGATAAAGATCGTGTTATAGAAGAATTAATACGTTATAATGTTATATTAAAAGAAGAACATAGTAAAATGTCTGATGATAAACAAGATTTAATAAGAAATTTAGATCGTATAACTACACAATGTGAAAAAATGCAATTAGAAAAACGACAAGCATTTAAAAAGTAATATTTATTGAAAAATTTAATGACTTTTAAAAGAAACAGTTTCATTTTAATTTTTTTGAAATTCTGGTGTTATAACTGTTTACAATTTTTATACTCAGCTATGAACTACTTTATATTTTAGTGAAAATCGATTGTGAAGTTTTTCTTTAAGTTTCATGACTAATACACATTTGAAAAACAAAAATCCAGATGGTTGCATCAGTCAACCATTACGATGTGTGTTGAAGTATTGTTATTCTAGTAATTGAAAAAGAGCTGAAATTGTTTTTAAAAATTAAATGATAGCTATATTTTGTCGTTGCTTATCAGAATCATGGTTTCCGATTAAGGGGAGGAGGCTTTCTCTTCTAAAATATTCGACTTTCTACGAAAGTTCTTAACATTTTGTGCTAATTTTTTTTACGGCTTCGTATTAACTTTGGTCAGCAACAGGATTTTGAAACATCATTTCGCTTTCTCTCGCAAAAATTGAAACAAATATGAGCAGACAATGCCGTTGCGAAGTGCATAGAATTGGAGAGGAGCGACCTAGTGGTAGGAGTTGAGTCATAGTGGATTCGTTCTTTCCATCCGTCCCCCGAGCTCCATTTCTAGTACTCCGAGACTGTTTGGATTTTCAGTCCCTTCTACTGCTAGAAAATATCGACAATCCTAATCAGAGCAGAAGTCTTATATTTTTGAGAAAAGAGTTTAATTAGCCATTGGTTTTTAATATCTTAATTGATAACATTGAATACATTAGAACATAATCTACCTTCATTTTGTTATATCTATAAGCAAAAAAAATGATTTATTTATTTGCTTACAAAGTATTTTCAAATATCTGTCGAAAGACCATATGGAAAGATTTTCCCGTAATATAATAAAAATCTATACATAGATAAAATATTAAATTAATCAGTATCCAACACTTGAGATTTATCTCTAATATGAGATATGTAGGATTATCCTACCGTACCCTACAGGTTACGGTAAGGTAGGGATTAGAAAATTTTTCTCAGTCAACATACAGAATACAAACAACCCTTATCCTGCACATCTCTAATTGATTAAGAAAAAAAAAAAGATAAATGTTGATTAACATGATTTTCTATATTTAGACAAACAACTGCAGCCGATAACACTAAACAAGAATTAGCATCTGCTCGTCAACAACTTGAATCTTATCAGTCACGTGTTAATCAGTTAGAATCACTTTTACTTCGTACTGCTTCACCTGATACACGTTCTTTTGCTCGACGTGTTCTTCATGAAAGTCCAATGTCAGATAGTGTTACACAAAAAGTTCGTGTACGACTTGCAGAACCATTAGAATCAATTCCTATTCCTGTAGTTGATGATGAAAGTTCAAAAGAAGATGAAATTGATTTAAATATGATTGATCTTACAAATGTTCCTGAAAGATCATCATCATCATCACCAGTATTTTCTACTCAACAATTTGCAACAACAACATCAGCTATTGATATTCTTCATTCAGTAATTCAAGAAACAACATCAAGTCTTGATTTACCAATAATTAAAAAAATGAAAGTTAGAAAATTAGATGATGATATTGAAGAAAATGATGATTATCTTGTTCGTCCATTAGTACAAAATCAAAATAATTTTAAACGAACTTTTAATAAATTTGGTGGACATTCAATATCAATAACACGACGTATAAGTAATACAACATTTAAATCAAAACCAAAATCAACTAAACCAAAACATATTTCAACTAAAAACAATCATAAAATAACAACATTTTTTGTTTAAACTAATTACATTTATTTATTTTTCCCCTTTTTTGTTTGTTTGTTATACAATTTAAAATTTGAAGAAAGAACAAAACAAAACAAAAATACATAATTAAAACTAGAAATCAATTTTCTTTTGTATATTGTTTTGTTCTTGTTGTTGTTGTTTAGCAATTACTAGTCGATTATACATTTCTACTTCATATCGAAGTCTTTTTAAATGATCAATTCTCATATTATATTTATCTTCATCTGTTTCTATTTGTTTTTCTTTATCTATTTTTGAATTTGTTTTCTTCTCAGATATAATTTTTTGTTTGAGATAATCAAAATTAATTTGATATTCATAAAGATGAGAATTCATTTTTTTTAAATAATATCTTAATTTTTGAATATCTTCTTCATATTGATGATTACGTTGAATAGATAAATGAAGTTGTTCATTTAATTTTTTATTTTCTTCATAAAGACGTAAAAATTTTTGACGTTCAAAATGAATTATATAATTACGACGAATACATTCTTGACATTCATGTTGTTTTTTATATTGTTCTTGAAGAATAGAAATATTTGTAATTGGATTTGATTTTTCTTCAGTAAAAAATAATTCAGATGGTTGCGTAACTTGATAAGCAGTAAATGTATCATGACGTTGGCGAATTACATTTTCAGATGATGTGAAATGCAATGAATCTAATTTGAATAAAAAAAGAAACAAAAGGCAAACAGACTTTATTTCCTTGTCAATATTAGATATATGTAGGGTAGGATAAAACATGCTGCAGGGTAGGATAGGGCAAGGGTCAGAAAATCTTTCGCAGTCAGAATACACGGTATAAAAAAGTTTCCCCTGTGCCTCTCTAAACAATATTAGAAAAAAATAAAAACTTTTATATACCATTGCCATCATTAGTATCATTAGTTTCTGGAAATTCATTAGATGAATTAATTAATGATAATGATTCTGTTGGATAATGATGTTGGTTAAGTTTATTTTTAACATGATCTGACAGTTGAATAACTTGTCGATGACGTTGCATTTTATGTTAATTGTTAACAATAATTGTATGATATAGAGTTTGCTTTGTTTTTTACATTAATTCAACAAAATAAAAAAAAAAAAAGGAAAAGCACTATTCTGTTTTTCTTCTCTTTCACACTCTTTTCTCATTCCGGAACACATCGAATCTTTCACACCTTATGATTTTTTCTAGTATTGTTCTTTTTCTTTTCTTTTTGATTCTTTTAATTATTTTTCTCATCGTTCGAGTTTCTAAATGATGCTTTAAAAAATAAAAGTATATCTAATATGTTTGTAATTATAGCAATGACTTAAATTGTAGCTGTTATTATTAACTATGAACGTCATATTTCAAATTAAGAATCCGTAGATGTAAATTTTAAATTTAATTTTTTCAATTTCAATAGTGCGTTAAAATTTCTTCTCTAAGAACTCTTAAATAAATATTAACATCGTTTTATTCTAAATTTAATGGTATTTTTTCATTAAAATTCCTAACAAATAGCTTTAAATTAATAATAGTTCATTGAAACTAGAAGTTAACAGCATATAACAGTTATTTATATTTATAAAATATCTACGATAGCACTTAGATGTGATAATTGACTAAATTATGCATAAGAGTTGGCATTTGATTATTTTTATAAATTAATAATAGTATAAATTATTCAGTTAATCATACTTTCACACTTAAAATCAAGCTTTTGATGATTATCAAATGCATTTCTTTGTTTATATTCTGGTTTAATATGTCAAAAAACAGGAAAACATCAGACTAATCCGTTTCATATCTATTTTGAATGCAACCCTATTTTTTATTGTTCGATTAATACAGTCATTTAACATATATCTTCATTATTAATAATGAATACAAGTACAAAAATATAAATACAATGAATAGGTAAAGATCCATCCTTAATAATAATAAAATTAACGGTAAAATAGTACATCACTCATTGTAATATTTTTATCTTCCAACATACTTTTATTTTTTCAAATATAAATAAACATTTTGAAAAAAACTCTTCTCTTCCTATCTGAAGCATCTCTTTAGTGAATGTCATAAAATAACAAATGAGAACTGTATATATATATAGATAATTAATATTAAAATAGTGAATAAAAAATAATAAACGAATAGAAAAAAAATTTACACTATTTAATAACTGTTCTATATCGATTGAAATATTTCATCGTAAAACAAGAATTTCTATTTTCTTCTCTGTAGAAATCAATTCAGTCAAATATTTTTATGTTTTAAATACATTCACTTAATTATTTTAAACTAAGACATTTACGAATATTATCAAATGTAAATTGTACTATTAGAATAATAGTAGTTATGATAAAACTGTCAATCATAACCTGTATTAATCCTACAATTATTTTTAAGAGAAGCAATTAGAATAATTTTTCTATTCGAACATGGAGAAATAATTACATATGCATAATTTAGCTCAAATGTCAGCATCGATACGTAATTCAAAAATGTTATCTAAAATAGTATATTTTCGATATTATTTGAAATAGTGGAAGCAATATATGAAAAATAACGTTGCAAGTTCCTTATTGGTTTTTTTTATTTGTTTTATTCATAGTTGACAGTTTGTTTAAGTTATGAATGAATTAATGTTATTCATGGGTTTGAATATGTATAGATAAAAAATCATATCTTCACTTCCTCACACTCACACCTGTTACTAAGGGCGTAGCCAAGGATTTTTCAACGGAATGCTTGATTTGTTATGGGGATGCACATCAGCAGGAAAATAATATTTTGTCTCGTGACAAAATATTTTATCCGTATACTTCCTCAGGTATTTTTTGGCTAAAAGGATGCATAAGTATCTCTAGTAGTATTGATTTTAGCTAATCCTATCAAATAACAAGGCTAAAAAATCTGTTAATGCTGTTTCAGATTGGAATCTACGTTTCTCTGGTTGTCACCATGTGTTTACAAAGAAAATTTTCAATCTTATTATTGATCTTATTAGTTGAAAACGCATTGATTCATCTGTATCGATCAACTCTATCGACTATTTTTCTTAAAAACCTAACTTTTTCTAAAAGAAACAGAAAATAGAAGATTTTTGAAAAAAAAACAGATATGAGAAAGAGGCACTGTGGAATGTCAGTCATTTATTGAATATTTCATGCACAATCAATCAAAATATTAGAGAGAATAATACTACAAACTGAAAATATTTACATTACCCATATCAAACGTGTGTTCATACTACCGGCGATAGTACTTACGACTTTCAGTTTCAACTATAAACGATTGCAGACAATGTTTTTCTACCCAAATTCAAATTATTTATGAGAAAGTATTTAAATTAATCGAGAAGAAAACAGTTTGAGAATATATTCTACTAATAAAAAGTTGTGGAATGTCATTTATAATGAAAATTTATCTCATGTCATAAGCCAATTAGGCTCTGTGGCTAGTACAAATGGTTCAGATACATCGAAATTATCAAATTGTTATTTTACATTCCAGAACAATGTTTTTTTTAAAATACTTTTCGTTGTGTGTTCAAAATTTGTATATGAGTCATCGGTTTAGAGCGACATCTATTCATTCATATCTATTTTTCACCATTAATCAACTATAAAAATATAAATATTTAGTTAATATGAATAATATAAGCATATATTAACATATATATTTCCAAATTATTGATGTCATGTTTAGGATTGGTCCAATATTATTGACAAACGACAGATAAAATTCACTTGATGCGGTACAAATGAGATCATTATGGCTGCTCAGAGGACAGAGACCGCCTTTTTTTTTCTCTTCAAATGAATGAAGACGTCATGTTGATCTTTGATACATTGTATATATATCTACGATTATTTCAGATTTATTATTTATTTTTCTTTTTGGAACAGTTTTTTAATTGTCTCAAAAAAACAAAAATAATGGCTTTTACCAATGATAATTCCAATACGAAGGTGCTTACATTAGCCGAATGTCGAAAGCTAGCTGAAGATAAAGATAAATGTATACTGTTGATCAATAATCGTGTATATGATGTTACAAAATTCCTTGAAGAGGTTTGTAATTATATATTACTCAAGAATTACAATTAACAAAAATTTTCTTATAAATATTTTAAAGCATCCAGGTGGTGAAGAAGTCTTAAAAGAACAACATGGTCGAGATGCAACAAATGCTTTTGAAGATGTTGGTCATAGTTCCGATGCACGTGAACAAATGAAAACATATGAAATAGCTCAAGTTGATCCTGTAAGTTAATTTATATTCTTTAGTTTTTTTTTTGAATCAATTTATTTCCTTTATTGTTTTTTCTCTATATCTAGAGTGACATTAAGACACCGGTAAAGGATTTTATCTATCAAATAATTCAAAAATTCTAATCATTATTTTTTGTTTTTTTAAGGCTCGTCCTACAGTTGTCAAACCAAGTGGTAGTACAGATGGTGTTCGTGATGATACTGGTTCATCGTGGACTAAATGGGTTATTCCTCTTGTGATAGCTATAGCAGCTGTAGTTCTTTTTAAATTACTTACAAAATCTGCCGCAGATGTTAATCGACCACCAACAGCAATATAAATTTTTTGTTCTCTTTTTTTTTTCGTAATCTATTACCTATGATTTTCAATTCTATTTAATAAAAAGAGAAAGAAAAACAAAAAATATTAATATAAATCCAAAAAAAAAAAATATTTTAAATGGTGATAATTTTTCTTCTAGATATAATCTTATTTGTATTATTATCTCATTTATATTTATTTTCCATCTTGTCGCAAAAAAATAAATCAATAAATAAAATAATTTTGCAGCACGATGGCAGAAGCGCAATTAACAAATCAATTAACACGTATTGATTCAATGACAAATGTTGAATTACGTGCTGAATTAAAACGACGTGGTTGTCCAACATCAGGAAATAAAAAAGATCTATTAGCTAAATTACGTGTTGCTTTACAAAAAGAATTTGAACAAACAGCTGTACAACATCCATCAAATATTGATTCAACAAATTTTGATGGACGAAATAATAATCTTTCTGGTTTACAACAATCACCTGTTATACGATTAGATGCTAATAGACCATCATTAGATAATTCAACAGCATCATCAAATAATTATATGACACCACATAGTGGTAGTCCAATTGTATATTCAGAACATATACATAGTGGAGAAGTTCCATTGACATATACTAATTTACAAATTCATGATCAAGTAAGAAATAAAATAATATTTTATTCTATATATAAAGAATATAAATTAAAGGATCTTTTTTCGATTTTTGATTTTTCATTGGGAATATAGATTTGAAGTGTCCTCTGCTAAATGCTATATAAATGAGAGCTCTTCGTTGTAAATTAGTATTTTTGATTAAATCTAACTGTCGAAATTCTTACAAGAAAAACTCGTACTACAATTATTCTTTGTATGTGAAATTCTTCTAATGATAATTTCTAAAAGTACTGAGAGCATGGATTATAGATCTCTAACACTGTTGAACACGGCTAGTTTTCGATCACTTTAGTTGAGGAGAAAAAGTTTTTCAAAATTAAGTGTTGAACAAAACAAATGAAGTTTTCTCTCAGAAGTTACGCCGCTCGATCGGACTTAGTTTTTTTAATGAGTACTGTGATCAAATTGAGGTGCATGTATTTTTTTTCATTTAAAAATGTTGTTCCTACGAAATTCGGCAGCCTTTAAAAAATTATTACAATATATTTTTTGACAGTGCTTTCAGTATTTTTCTTCTTCTGAGCTCTAGGAACGATACTTTTGAAAGGAAAACACACACACACACACACCTCGATTTGATCCTAGTTGTCATTAAAAAAATTGCAGCTCGAAGATATCAGGTATGATTTTGTGAAGGAGACGAAACTTCTGGCCTTTGCGACTGTCATATCTTGTTGAAGGAAGCATCTGGAAATTTTGACTCCATGATAACTTTTGTTCTCCTTATCAAAATCTATCTGCCTTGAAAGTTTCATCATTTTTCATTGAGTTGTTCTCGAGAAATCCTGGAAAGAGGCAGCTGTTTCGTTAAATATATCTTATGATATGATATCAATAGTATGTAAAATTTAATACTTTCGATTACAGTTCAGAAATTATACTTTTTTTCGATATTTATTTGAATTTTTATCGTTATGATAGACTTCAGATCATGCAGATTTTTAATTATTTGTTTGACATATTTTAAAATGATCGAATCATTAGTGTATTTCTTCACTGCTAGTCATCTGTGGCTATTCGAAAACTTTAATAACCGTAAAAACGAATCTGTTAGACTATTGAATAACTCATTTTGATATTACAATTTACAGTAAAAGATTCAAATGACTTGAAGTCCATAATAACCATAGATGTGCAAGTAGATATAAAAAAGAAACGGCACATATTGTTGGAAACATCGAAAAAAAGTCTAACTTATAAACCGAAACTGAAAACGTAATATTTTCTACACTATTAATTACCTTGATACATAGCCGAGTTATCTATATTTATCAAGTAGTAATGACCTTAGGAACACCCTGTACATTGAATCTAAAAAAAAGATGTATATAATTACATTTTTTTTTTCCGGTCACTATGGTCATATTAGAACATTAGAAGTCCATTTTCAATGAACTTAGCATCATTGTGAAATACATTTTTTTTGTATATTCTTTGCGAAAAAATTTTACACATTTCAAAATAATGCGTGTCTATAATAAAATGAAACAAAGACAGACTATTTCTAGTATGTATTCAATGAAATTGCATAAAAAAATTTTCTTCTTTTCTGTCTAATACAAAATGTAACTTCTTTTGTTTACCTGAAAAATAAAGGCATGAACAATATAAATAGACCATTTCAGGTAAAACAAGACAAACCTCACCTGTCATTTTACCTTGATTTTTATACAAGGGGTTATTGTTGTGAATGAATTTCTTTTGTTAACGCAGAGATATGTAAAAATATTGACTCTTTCCGTTGATTATTAACTAAAAAAAAAAGTAATTAGCAAATATATCTCTAAAACTATACGAAAAAAAAAATCCGAAAACTTTAGGATACATTCTATGGTATGAATCGCATCTTTGATGAATTTTTCAAAAAGATCGAACTTCTTATTGAAAATCGCTTTTCTAGAGATTATCAAGAAAGATTTGTACTATTTGCATTTCTTCACATTACTAACGAATGATTTTACTCATGTATAACATTGAATTAATATATCATAATTTTCTATTCTTATAGACTACTGGTCAACATGCACCGGTATACAATTTAAAAATGCAACAAAATATTCATCAATCTCCAGCTCCAATGATTCCTGTTCCTCAACAATTAACAATATCACCATCAGAAAGATCTCAAATTTATGATCAATCTCTTTTATATAATCAAGAAAAAGAACAAGAATTTTCACCAATGATTACACGTCAAAAACGAACAAGTGTTGATACATCAATTGATACAACCATGTCTTCATCTATTCCTCAATCAATACCAGAGAAAAGATCACGAACACGAAGTAAAAAAACATCTGTTGATTCTCAACAATATGAAATTCAACAACAACAACAACAACAACCAATATCATCTATGGAAGATATTTCAACGGAAATCATTCATACAACACCTATGGAAGAAACGAATAACAACGAACAAATTGTTATCAATGCATCAACAACTGTTAATAATGGTAACAATATCGAGGTGAATCCTATTGTGAGTAAGAGTAATGAGGAAGAACAGAAAGATAGAGATAATATAGGAGAAGAAAGAGAAGATTCACGTTCGCCATCTGTAGGCAGTAGTAGTGCCAAATCTGAGTCTGTTATTAAAGAAATTCCGTTGTCCGGTGAAAGACATCGTTTGAGTCGATCGAAATCACCTAAATCACGCTGGCATCATTCACCTTCACCACAACAACAGACCAATCAATCAACAACGATTGAAGAAGAACCAAACTCGGCTGTGACACCTACAAATGATGACAATAAGTATGTATTACTAATTTATTTCTTTAATACATAAAAAATAAAAAAATTTAATTAATTCGTTTAGTATGACTAATGAACAGAATGAAAAGTCATCATCAATATTAACTTCAATTGCCGAGGAAGGAAACAATTTAGGTGGAAATGAAAAGAAACAAGTAATAAATTTTTTCTTAAATATTTTTGCAAATAATAACATTTTATTTATTGTTTCAGGATGATTCATCTGTAATGAGAAACCAGGAAACTACGATGAGTAAATAATTTGTTTTCTTTTTCTAAAATTCTATCAAGGATAAAATTCATACGAATCGTATTTTTCGATATAAAATATAAAGTTTATGATTTAGAACAACTTGATGTAGATAAATATATATATATATATGAAAAGTACAAGAGTAGATGATCATAATACAAATAAAAATTTAATAACAAATGTTGATACACCGTAGAAGTTATTTTTATTTTTTGAATACACTCTTGAATAACATTTTCTGATTTGTTTTTCCATAATTCATCAGTCGTATCCTCTAGTTCACATTCCAATCTATTTCTTGACTTAATTCAATATTATATGCTTAACTAAAGAATGCGACCGATAGAGTCTGTCGAATTGGTCCTAGACTCGATCGTATCTGGGCAGAAATTTCTCCGTTAACGAGATCCGATGAACCCTAGCGGTCAATGAAATATAGAATAATCTATTATCAAATACTATTCAATGATGTATTTGAAAAAACTTCGATGCCATATCAACCTTTTGTATTAAATTTTGATTTGTATTATAAGCATCTACTCTCGTACTAAACCCTCGTTGCAATAGAAGTCTCTGAGGCTTCTATTATGGGAAATTTTCATACACAGACGACACCTAATCAAGACTAATTTAATAGCAGCTGCGAAAATGGTGAGAAGACTGTTCTGTTTTGAAGAGTGATTTATTCATATATATCTACGTCAATTGGTTCTAAATTATAAACTCTATATTTTGATATCGAAAATACAATTCGCATAGATTTTGTTGTTGGCAGATTAATTTTATATATGATTTCTTTTTTGTGGTATAGAAAATGATTTATCGTCAAATGATAATCAACAACCAGAAAAAGCTGCACCTCAACAACAACTTAAACCTAGTCGATCTCAAACATCATCATCATCATCATCATCAACATTAATGAAAGGTCTTAATCGATCAACAACTAGTAATCGAATGAATTTATCATCAGGTGTTCTCAAAGTAAATCTTTGTTTTTTTTTAATTTTATCTGAATTATTTATTTTATTTTAATCTTTTGTTCTTTTTTTTTTTTTAATTAGACACTTATTTCTGATATAAGTTTAGCACCTGTATCTGTTATCAATGATGAACTTGAAGCATCAATAAATGAACAAGATCATGGTGATGATATTGAACATTCACCAAATCAACCAGTACTTGAAACAAGTGTTGGTAATGGTTTTCGTTTATCTGATTCTTTAACAATTGGTGAATTAGCTGATCAAAAACAACAACGTAATCGAACTGTTGTTATTGATGTTGCTGTATGTAGAAAAATTTTTTAATTCTATTTAATTTGATGTTGTTGTTA